CTTGACATTGTTGGTAAATGCTTTGTTTCTTCAGTACTTTTCAGAGTGAAGACAATTGACAATGAATTTTTTAAAAACTAAAATTCAGATTAAAAACGAATTCAAGTAAAACCAAACTAGGGAATTAAAAAATCAACAGAATCAATGGGCTATGTAAATAGTACAAAAGCCTGGTCTTATGACTGATGTTGCTATTCAGACACCATGGTAATATGCTAAAGTTTTTATCTGTCAGGACAGTATGACTCCTGAAATTAATTTAAATAAAAAATACACACACACACACACACACACACACACACACACAAAAGATATTGGACAGAAGTTGATTTCCAAAAATTTCACTACTTTGAAAGTTCTTTTCCTTCACATCCAGGAAATTATCCACATGTTTTAATAGGACTATCAAAAAACCACAGACACTGAGAAGAAAGTAACTCACAGCACATGCTTGCATAAGAAATGGATTAGAGTAAATCCAATATGTGGGATATATTTGAATTCAGCATTTTAAAACATGGTAATTCTCTTTTCGTATAGATGAATGTTCTGAAAAACTTTCTGGAGAGTAAAGGCAAAAGTTTGGAACTTGACTAATATAATTTGTGAATATCAGTTTACATATATATGACACAACCCAATTATCACATTTAAAATCTGGAACCATTCAGCAACAATAAAAAATAAATAAATAAAATAAAAGTAGTACAGAAAAACTGTATTATAAAAACATATGTTAGCTTTATCTTGGAAGAATTTAAAGCTATTCGTTTTAAGTAACTGTAAAAATAAAGAGGCTTGGTTTTAGACTCAGGTTGTTGCCATTTACTGTGTTTCAATATTTTACTATTTATTTTCCACTAAACATTCTTTAGAAAATTAAAGCCATTATGGATATGCAGACACACAGAGTTGAGAGCCAATTTTTCAAATGTATGTCAAATTTAATATTCTGTTTTTATGCAAATATTCTCTGCATGTCCCACTGCAAAAGACAATGCAATGCCAGGACAAAATTGGATCCTGATCCAAGTAAACATAATACTGTATTAATTGGTCCCATATAGACATATTTCTGAATGATCTATTCTTTTTTGGAAACATAAAAAAATCCTGATTAATTTTTCACAGGAATTTCTAGAAAAACAAATAGAAATCAAATGTAAAGCAGTTTTTTCAATGTTATAAAAAAGCCATTATCCATAATTATAAAATTCAATCATATGTCATAGTGAAGGGAAACAGACTGTTAAAACTCACACCAGAGGTTGTTCGCCTTCATGTTTTGCGACTGTATTATTTGCTGTGCTGTCTCTTCCTGGTTGTATCTATCCATACTCTTAAGATTTGGCAGGAGAAGCATGCTCCAGGTCCCCATAACACAATGGATTATCCGGTAGGACCTACAAAGAGAGCCTTTTCTGTTGTGGCACTCACTCTCTGGAACATCATTCACCCAGAGATCAGATTGGCCCAATCCTATTAATCTTTCAAAAGGCCTCAAAAACCTGGGTTTGTCATAAAGTCCTGGGTTCCAGATATCTGACTAAACTGTGTCATGGCTATTTTAATTGTTGTCGCTTGTTTTTTGTTTGGTTGTCATATGTGTTATTTTGCTATATGGTTTTTATCTTGTTTTTAAGTATTTGTAGCTGCCCAGAGTCATGTATTTGAGATAGGAAGCCACACAAATTGAATAAAGCCACAAATAAACAAATAAAAAATGTATATTTTTACCTATAATTTTTGTATTTTAAACAAAATTCATTTATGTAGGTAGAAAATCAAAAATGGAAATGTGGATATCATCAAATCAAGCTCTCTGCTTCTTTATATTGCGAAAAAGATCAGGAGAAACATTTTCTATAAATCTGAGAAGAAAATCATTTGTGTATATATATTGGCATTTTAATGTGAGTGTCTGTGTGAGTGGGTTGTATTGTATATATACACCCAGATCAAAATGCAGATGTATGTTGATATAATAGGCAGCTTAAAAACTAAGATCCTTTTCTAAGCATACATTCTAATGTTTCCATACCTGCTTTTACTACCACTGATTAAATAGTAGAGAGATTAACATTTTCACATAACCCATAGATGGTTGCTGTTTAAACCAGAGCAGAAATGTGATATTTTTAAAAAAGTACAATTTTGAAGTATACCTTTCTTAAATAGGTAGTTTCCTTCTCTGTTTAAATAATACCAGAGTAACACCAGGTGACCCAAGCACTTGAGATAGAAAGATTTACCCACCCACCCCCAGCTCCCAAATAAGCCAAAGATATGTACTTGAGATCTAGAAGCAAAGTGAAATCATTTTATCATTGATGATTGGAATTATATAACAGTAACCCCCTAGATTTATTTACAAAAACCTTTGGGGAAAAACTAGTTACTCAAGAAAATAAAATAAATTAAAAATATTTTAAAGATTTTCTATGTTAAGCATAATAAGCAAGGGTTTTTTTTTTTTTTTTACCACTATGCTATTTCATTAATGCAGGTAAAAGAAGATATACACATATTAGTATGTATGATTAGCACTGGTTCACTTGAAGGGGCAGTCCTTTTACTGCAAACTGGTCAATTAACTAATAATGTTAGCCTGCATCTAACTGAAGTTACCTAGCCAAATGGACAGAACATTCAAAGCAATATAACAGAAAAAAATGAATTTTGGAAGTGGAACATAAAAATATGCATAAAAGTTGCTTGGAGGGTCAGTCAGTGGAGGACTGAGAGCCACATCATTTATTTCTACTCTCCAAAAACAGCTGCTATCCAGTTTTAATGATGAGGTAAGAGATACTGTATATCCAGATCTGATTTAGAAGATTATTTTCAAATTCCACTAGCTTGGAGCCATTTGCTAGTGGCTTTAAAAAGCATTGGTGTTTTCTAAGGAACATCTATAATGGGACATATAACATGGAAACATAAAAACATTCCTTGCCTATGTTCACCAAATTCACTGAAGCTATATTTTCTAGAATTCCCAGTCAGAATATGACTGATATTCCCAACACGTCTAAAAAGTTGCAGATTGAAGAAGACTGCAGTAAGCTATATAGTTGCCTAGTAATTTATGGCAATTAATTGATCTTGTTCTTTCTGTTGCCTTCAAGTCAGTCTACATCTATCCAAAAATGGCAGGTCACTGTCTTCTTACTAGGGGGTTGAGAAAGAGGGACCAAAGTCACACAGTTAACTCCCATATTTAAGGCCAGACTACAATTTAGGTTTCCCTGCTTTAACCACTAGATCAAACTGGCATTCTTGGAATGACATTCTTGGGGGGAAAAAGAAACGTAAGTTTAAAAAGTCAACGAATTCTGAAAAAATTGGCTGTTGATGGGACATAGCATTTGTATTTGATTGAAATAAATCTTAAATATGTTTACAATGTAATTAAGACCCTATTTAAATATAAATATATAATTTCTAAATTTAAAAATCTTAATATTTTACAACATGTTTAACATAATAACCTTGGCTTTGCTTGCAGTGAAACATAACATTAGCAATGGCTAATGGCTTATTACAGCAAGAAAGCAGTAAAGCAAGATGCTTAAATGATACTGCCTATGTATAGTATGCCCTCTGCCAGTCACTTAGAAAAATACACTTAATGGAGACAATTGAAGAGAAAAAAAACTGAAAAATATGAAATGAATGAGATTCAACTGAAGCAATTCAAAGGAGTACAACAACGACTCATTTTGTAGTAGTCTTGTGGTATAATTCTCACAAAGGGCAAGAAGTTTGTTATTATTATTAAAGTGCTATTCTTCCTTATTATTAAGCAAAGGAACCTTTCATACATTTCTTCCATTTATTTTCATAATACTTGAAAGAGTTGAAAGGCCATTATGCAATTATGCAATAAAGTGTGGCTGATGTACAATGTACATCAATTGTCAAATTTTATACTCATGCTTTTGTATTAAATAGAAATGATTTGAGATGCATTCCCACAGAAACCATACAGTAATTTATAGACATGTAAAGGGGTCCTAATATGAGCACTCCTAAAAAACTCTGGTCACTCCTTTGTTTAAATTAAATCTATCTCATAATAATCACACATGCATTTTTCTGAAAAAAAGAAAACATGTAGCCATCTTGATACATGTTGAAACCAATTTTCTACAGGCTTCCTTTCTGCAGAGAATTGTGTTGTATATCACCACAACAAGAGACAAACCAAGAGCTCCCCCAATTTCAGATCACATAGCCACTGCTCCAACAGAATACCAGATGCAGAATGTGACTACTGTCCCATGTCAGGCTTAGGATGACCTGATATAGGCCCATGACTGTCATAATGATGATGAACTCAAGCCACTCCTAAGAAAGGGAGCTGGAGGGTCCATAGAACCATAAATCTGGGGAACTCTACTGTCAGCTCAGAAATAGAGTCAGGGAGGTTGCTATGCAGCTGGGATGTTGGTACTACAGCAACAATCCCAACTAATTCCTATTCATAACAATTCCAAAGATCCCTACAGAAACAAGTGGGACTGCTGAAACTGCCATTGTAATTTGACACAGTCACGCCTTATTAAAGAGTTTCCAACTCTAATTATTATTGGTAACCAAAGGTTTACCCATAGCAAGACCACATGCAGATTCCTAATCCCTCTTCCATGGCCCCTAGAACTCAATCAGCACTGGGTGAAAACAGGCACCTCAGTTTTTCCGAATTTTAAAATACAGATTAAATAAAATTAAAATTATATGCTTAATAGTAATAATGTGTAACAAAACAAATGCTAAATGCAAATCTACAAAACCAAACAAAATGATAAAAGTTTAGGATTATTACTTTGGAACTATCCCATGGAGTAGATACAGAAAACTGTTCTTGCAGCCCTATATGACATGTTTATAAAGCAATTGCTGATAACCTCTATGAATTGATGCAAATTACTATCCAAGTTGAGAGTGGGAGGAATACAACAAATTTAAAGAATTGAATCTGAAACAATGGTACTTACAGTGTTGGCAAGCTCGAGATAACTTCCTCCGACTGAATTGCTTAGATTGGTGGCCTGTGCAAGCAATCTTTGAAGGGCAACTTGTTGATTGATAGTATTCCCACCATATTCAAATGGCTTTTGTAAAGTTGAACAACTATGCAAATCAGGGCTTTGAAGATCTCTAGCTCCAGAATCGTATTCCCAACTCTCTCTAGCTCCAGAAAGGGCACCTGGATAGAAAAAGATATTTATTTTTAAAGAGGAATGCAATAATTCCATATAAATATCTTCTGATTTTTATAGTATTTTTGTACTGACTCCCCTTTGTCTCCATAAGCACAGAGCAACTAAGCATTGATCTGAATGAAAAATAACTTCTTCACTCTGAGATTTCTAAATTCAAGTAGTTAATACCCAGCTATCCTTGATAAATCAGATTATGGGTTTATTTTAAAACCATACATTAAAAAGACAACTTCTCAAATATGTAATTTGAGTATAAAGGAAACAAGTACACAATTATATAACCAATTCCAGTTACATATTAAATGTACATCATTTCCTATCTTAAAAATTGGTGAAAAATAAATCAATGCATAAATGTTGAGCTGTTGTACCTTATTAATATTTCTTTAAAAGGATCAAGGTCATTTTCAGCAAACTGGTCAGCATAGCAATGGATTCTTAGAATTATAGGCCAGAAACATCTGGAGGGGCACAGGTTTCCAATTTTCCGTAATAATAGCTACAAAGCTTTGGTAATCTGTTTTGAGAGACAGCTGAGCAGAAAAACATTCCAATTTCCAGATATTTTGAGAAAAATTACTTGTCACTATCATCAAATAATAAAGAGTAATACGATGCATTTATTTTGTTTTCTGGCTGCTCTAATCTACAGCTCTGTCACCAGAAAGCTAATGAGCCCTTTGCAACCCCTCCATTGAGATATCCTAGCTATAGTTATCCATGTATTCATAACATTTCAGTTTATTTACATGCTTGCCTTTGAAGGCTGTTCAGAAATTGCAGTTGTTGAGAATGTTCCTTTCACTTTGGTTCTCTTTGTTATTGTTTATGCCAGGTGATCATATTTTTATTCATCCAATCCTTTTAGTTATGTAAGAGTAAATCAGATTTCAAGCAGCTATTCTTTTCCAACTGCTTAGCTGTGATTTGCTTTATTATGCTATTTTAATTTTCAAGCAACTCTCAGTTAACAAGCATTTACAGTATATACAGTATATTGCTAAAAGCTCATTACTCGAAACTAGGATATAGGATCCAAAAACCAATTATTGGATATTTTAATATAACATAGATGGAAGACAAGCATGTATAGTCTTGTTGGAAAATTTCATGCTGCATCTTCTCTACTCATAACTACCATAATACCCATTTAATTACATCGACATGTGAACAATTGAAGAACAGCTGCAGCACATTGAGCTGAGGCAAGAGTTAAAGGCCAAAATCTTTATTGAATTCTATGCATAATGGTTATTTTGCTTCACATAATGTTAATTACTTTCAACTACAGCTGCACTGATGCATCAATAAAATGCAATTTACTCAAAGTGCATTCATTGAAAAGTATCTAACTGCTGAAAAAGAAACCAACACAATACAAAAGTAAAACTATGACCACTATCCTTGATTCTACAACGACTCTACAAGAAATTATTAGAAATGCTGGCTTTGTAGTTTCATTGAGCCCACTTTGTTTCACTGAACATTTAACTGTGCAATTGTTGAAAGAAATGAAATGTAGGCTTTCCCAATAACTTTACTACTGCATGAAATAGGAAAATTGTCTCAGATTCGTTCAGAATATGGTAATGGAGATATGTGAGGTTTTTTTGTCTATTCTTCTTTTCTTGGGGCAGTATCATCTTGAATTTACTTTAGCTTTGCTTTTGAATAAATATGATTCCTGACATGTTGAATAAGAAAATAATTATCTTCAAATTATGAAAAATATTTTTATAAATATTATGAAGTTAAGCAAAATAAAAAAATTTTTTTACCAGTAAACTGTGCAGCTCTTTCATTTCATCTGTTGTAAAAATATTGCTGAAAGTAAATTATTTGGTGCAAATAGATTACATAATGATAAAAGATGAGATAGATTGTTATTTGTTCACAAACAATTTATGAATTATTGTGTCAGTTCTCATTATGGACAGAAGCATAGGTATTTACCTTAAATCAAATTTACCTTAAATCATTTACCTATAGTTCAGTACTTTCCAGAAGGTAAAAAGTATGTTATCCTGGAAAAAAAGCCTAGAGTAAGTTGGAAGTTGGTAGCATCAGGGAACATCAGGACTGCTTCTAATGAAATGATTTTTATTTATTAGTCATTTTTGCCATGGTAGCCATTACAGTATATGAATGGTTAGGCATCGCCTTGCAGCTGTTCTAGAATACATTCCCAATAAACCTACAAACCCAAAATGTTTTGGGATCTTTTCTGATAAATATAGGAAAGGGGAAGCAGGCCTTGCCTTGCCTCCTCTCCTTCTGTCAGGTAGGTATAGGGCTCATGCAGAGACTCTAGGAGGGCGTTTTCAGCCTCCAGCGGGTGGGGGAGGCTATTCTCACCCTCCCCAGCCTCCAGGAAAGCTTCTGGAACATGGGGAGGGCGAAAAACAGGCCTACAGGGCCCACCAGAAGTTGGGAAATGGGCCATTTCTGGCCTCTGGAGGGCCTCTGGGGAGGTGGGGGAGGCCATTTTTGCCCTCCAGAAGCTTTAGGTAAGCCTGCTAGGCCCAAAATGGGGTGCGGGCTGGGGTCATGCGTGCATGCACGGGGGACATTGAATTATGGGTGTGGGCATGCATGTGCACGACCCCCCACACTCCCACTCTGCTTTTGGAATATGACGGCAAAAAGGTTAGCCTAAGGTGACCAGATGTCCTGCTTTTGGCGGGACAGTCCCGATTTTTAGCAATTTGTCCCGCGTCCCGCGGCATTTTAAAAAAGTCCCGATTTTTCATTCTGCCTCCTGAGTCCCAGCTGATGGCTAGAGAAAAAAACCGTTTAAACTCTTGCCGCGGGGCTTCAAAGGGCTGCCCTACAGCTGATCAGTGTTAAAAGAAAACAAATGAGTAGACCGATGCCTGCAAAAATAGAAAAAACAGCCCCTTATAGCTTCCGCATAGGTTAATTAGCACAAGTTGATTAGCTCGGCTTCCCCACTCTCAGCTGATTTGCTCTCAGCTGTTTTGCGCAGGGCTCTGTTCTTTTGCTAGCTGCAAAGAGTTCCTGGACCAGATTTTTTTTCCCCTAGTTATGCTGAAAAAGCAAAAGCAAAAGCGAAAGTAAAGCAGGGTCTTTACTGCAACGTGACAAAATGAGGCAGAGAGAGATTTCTTTTTCTTTTTCTTTTTCCTCACCAAAAAAGGTAGGTGCAAAACTGCAAACAATGGGAAATTTAGGGCAAAAGAGGAGAGTTCAAGATTTTAAAACACAAAAGAAAAAAAGCTCTATTTAACTAGGGAATTGTAATCATTGAGATACTATTAATTGTATATTGTGTTGAAAGCAGAAATGGTTAAGTTGTGGTTTGGAGGAATATATGGGGGAAATTATATATAGGGTTTATTATTATCGGTAAATATAATTAATTGATTTGTAAGAAATTGGATTGCATGGAAATAATTGGAATATTCATGTTCATATTGATTAATATACAAAAAAGATAGTTATATAACTAATTGATTTATATTAAAATGTTGAATTTGTATTAAACAACTGTATTACATAATTACATAATTAACCAATGTGAGGATGGATATAAAAATAGATGACAATGGGAAGGGGTATAATATAGAATAGAAGGGAAAAATTGAATTTGATGAAGATTAGAGATGAGGATGAAGGGTAATATTGTTTTTTTAAAAAAATAGATAAGGAATAAATATGACAAAAAGGAAATATAGAAATTGTAAATTTAATTGAAATGACTAAACACTGTTTAAATTTGTGAACCAGCCAAATATTCTGTTCAAAGAAAATACATTGTATGTTTGTATGTGTTTCTAATTATTGCTATTTATTCATATTTATTCTCTTTTATTCTTTAAAGTTTAACAATTCATTCTTTCTCTTAATATCTTTATTTTTGTTTGGGGTTGCCTTTCTTTCCTTTCATCTTTTTTATTGTACAGCAATCTTTCTCCTCAAACCTACCCCTTCTCTTTTTTCTTTGCTTCTTACTTTCTCTTCCCCCCACCCTCTTCTTCTCCTCCCTACTTCCTCTTCCTTTCTCCTTCTCCTCCTCTCTTCCTCCCTCTCTTACCCTCACTCCTACTCTAATTTACCTTCCCTTCCTTCATCCCTCTCTATTACTGTATCCTTTTATGCATATGGACTACTCAGAGGGCTGAAAAAGTTATTTTTGACTGGTCCTCACACTTTTGACCAGTCCTCGAACTTACGACTGTCCTCACATTTTACATTTTTGCCCTATCTTGTCATCATGGTGAAGAGAAGCAGTTGTGAAATGAGTGACGGTTGTTAAGAATGCTGCACGGGCGTAAATGTGAGGATGGTCATAAGTGTGAGGACCAGTCAAAAGTGCGAGGACCTGTCAGAAATGACAGGCCCTCTGAGTAGTCCCTATACACATAGCCATGGCCACCCGGTCACATGATTAGCTAGCCACACCTACCCAGTCACATGACCTCCAAGCCACGCCCACAAAATAAGCCACGCCCACAATGGTGTCCCGCTTTACCAATGTTAAAATCTGGTCACCTTAGGTTAGCCATCACTGGTCTAGCGGTTAAGGTACCAGGCTAGAAACCAGAGATTGTCAGTTCTAGTCCTGCCTCATGGAAAAACTAGCTGGGTGAGCCAGTCCCTCTCTCTCAGCCCAACCTACCTCATGGGGTTATTCTTGTGGGAAAAATAGGAGGAAGGAGTATTAGCTATGTTAGATGCCTTGAGTTACTTATAATATAATAAAGGCAAACTAAACATCTATCATGTAAATAAATAATCAATCCTTTTTCTCCTCTATGTGCTAGATTATACAGCTGGAACTGACTGATGGTGACAAGCACATATCCCAAAATGCCCCAGTGAGAAAAGGATGGAAAAGAAAATAATGAAAAAGCTTTGAATTCCCAGTCTTCTCCACTTCTCCACTCTTAGAAGCTTTTTACCAGCCTTTGATAAGACTTCTTTTAGTAAGAAAGAAAATATTAACTTAGCACTTACAAAATGT